GTCATTCAGTGATTAGACTATTTCTTAGCAAACTTTGTTGTTCTGTATTGGTGCCATTTTTAATGGCAGTTATATTTTAATATATTGTAGTTAGTATGCAAGAAAAGAAATAAATTAAGGAGCAAATTACATATCAAGTCACAGGGTATATCTTTCTAATACCTATTATAATTTTAGTACTGTTTAATAAAATTGGAATTTTCTGTGATATTGCAACATAGCAGTATAAGCACTCATTAAGATCATAATAATCATTTTGCTGACTTCTGTGCATTCTATGAATAAAATGAACAACATAATTTTTAATAATTTTATTTAGACACAGGGTTGCATGTATGTAAGTGTTGCTCTTGGAATCAATTTTCATTAGAATATTATCTTGTACTTTAGCAACTACATTTCAAGGCCGTATTAATTGCTTTTAAAACCTTGGCAACCCTTGACCATGTTCCTTTTGTCTTCCATTCTCTGCATTTTCTTTTTAAATGTTCCATAATCCTTCTGTATTGCAACTGAAAAAAACTGAAAAAGTAATAGCATCTTTTAGTCAAAAATCAGTTGAGTTTGATAAGAAAATAGCCATCTAAACTAAACAAATGTACCAAATGTCTCCTGTTATTTTGTTTCCAATCTGAGCTTTAAACTCATACTTGGCCATACCTTGCCAGTTGCATTTTATTTTTAATTCCATTTAAGTGGTCAGAGATATTGATTTTCTCTTATTTCAGCAACTACAAATACTTAGCTGGTTAATAGAAGCCATATTTACAGTGATGTATGATCTTACATAATAAGAAAGCTTAATGTTTGCCCAAGTTTTGTGTTGCAGAAATGCAAATTTTATCTTTTTAATTCAGTGTGTTTTGTAGTATAGACTTATGTGAAGAAAGTGATTCAATGTATATTCTACCATCTAGACTTATAGTATAGACTTGATTTAATATTCTAAAATCAGTTTCTATATTTTGTGTGGTAAACTGCAAGATTTTTTTCCATTTATTTATTTAATTCATTCATTCATTCAGTTTCTATAGTTGCCAATCCCATTGACTGAACAATGGTTGGGTACAACTCACCTAATAACCATCTTCCTTAGCAATTCTGGTTCCAATTGTGGTTGTTTAGCAGTTTGGTTAAGATATGGTGTCTGAAGTTATTGCTACTAGTATTGTTGTTTTAACCATTCAGTTGTATCTGACTCTTGGCAATTTTATAGAAAAGTGCTCTCCATGCTTCCCTGTCAAGCACAGCTTCTTTAAGTTGTTGGATGTTCATCTTTGTATCAGTTTTGATTATAGCAAGCCAGCATGTTCTTTGCTTGGGCCCTCTTCTTCTTCTACTAACCATTCAGCATCATTGGCTTCTTCAATGCATTTGTATTAGTGTTAGTTTTTGAATACTTAATTTAATTAGTATTAAATAGTTAATACTAAGTAAATTAATCAAGTATTCAGTTAAGCATTTAATATGAATACTTTAGAATTAGCTATTAGTGAGTTCCGGTTTGCAGGGCTTAGGCGGCAGGCAGGAATCCGCGATCGTTCTCAGTTTCTGCCTGGGCTCGCTGCTGGAGCGTCCCAAGCCACTCGGCTTTGGGGCTAAGCCACTCCATAGAGGTGTGCGAAGAGGGGGGAGATCCCAGCAGGGTCGAGGGAAGCTGCATATTTCCTCCCCAGCTGGCTAAACTCCCTTTCCTGAAGGCAGTAAGAGCGGCGGTCAGAAATGGCCGCCTCAAAGAAGCACTCAGCCGGAAAAGAAAGTGCAGGAGGAAGTTAAGAAGTGAAAGTTTTGGCTGACCGGGATAAGAAGCAACAACTGAGATACCCTGGAATTTAAATCTTATAAAAGATACATCGCTCCCAAAGAAGATTCGGAAGCAGCGAATGAAAGTAAAAAGGGAAAGTTTTTTTTTCTCACTCTCCTTCCTTACGTTGACAGCAGATGAATGAGAAATCGGAAAAATCCGCTTTGGCACCAACAGGTAATTAAACTGGATTAAATGCCAAGGGGACAATAAAGATTTCTGAACACTTAAAAATCTTTTTTTTTGCTGTAAGTGGGAAGGGAGAGGAAAAGAATAAGAGCAAGATTTGGCTGGAGGAGGCTGCTTGGAATTTAAAAGAATCTAAAGTTAAATCGTAACAAGACTTCTAAGATACATTTTAACTGGAACTTTGTAACTAAATAGTAACCCCAGGAAGAGAAAGTGAAAAAAGAAGAAAGTGTTAAATGAAACAGCTTGTGTGTATTTGGATTGTTTGGTGACTTTGGGACTTCTGGAAATTATATTTGAATGATTAAAAACAATTGGGTGGTTGTTTAAATTTTTTTTACAATGGCATCACTTGTGGATGAACTGAAAATGGAATTTAAAAAATATAAAGAAGAGGAACAAGAAGGGAAGGGCTCTTTTGGCTCCGTTTTTCATTTCTTAGAAATGGCGATCTGTACCTATGAGAAACTACAAGAAAAGACTGCGCAACAAGAAGATTGGGACAAAGAAGAAGCCATCTTTAATGAACAAGTAACTTTATCTGGGGAAGAAAGGGGAAAGGGGGGAAAGAGAATGGAGAATTTAAAACCTAAAAAAACAACCCAAAAAGGGAAAAATAAGGTGAAAAGTGGATATAATGTGAGAAAGCAACAGAAAAGGGGAACACAGAAGAGAGAAATAGAGGTGGAGAGACAAGGGGGTAAAAAAGGTAGAGTGAAGAAACAAGGGAGGAAGGAAGAGAAGAGAAGTTACAAAGATTTGGAGCAAGATGTAAAGAAACAGGACTTTTTCAGAGATAATGGGTAAAAATATAATTGAAAATGAGATTCTGCAAAGGTACATAAGATTGTATTGTTATACTTGTATTAGAAATAATGTTAGAAAATTGGAACAATATATGATTTAAAAATGGGATAAAATACTCAGTGTAATTTAGTGAAACTTTTTTGAACAAAATAAATGAAATGAAATAAATGAGAGAATTGAACTGGGAAGGAATGGGAACATTTTAATTACACAATGTTTTAAAATATAAGTGAAATGGGGGGGAAGTAACTACACAAAATTTATAAGTGTTCCCATAGAAGCATGATACCTATTTGAAAAGTAATGTGTAAAATGTTTAAGATTTAAATGAATATTAATTTTAACGATAGAATTGAACTGGTATGGATTGTTCTTTTAATTATATTATACATTTATAATTTCTTCTTTTCTTAAAATATAGTGTGTAGCTTTCGAATGTACTAAGCAGAATCTGAATGAAAGTTATGTATTATATTAAGTGTTATAAATTTAGGGGAAAGATATAAAGGCGTCATACTCCAATCAGTGATTACAGGAGAAATTTTGTTTTAATGAGAAAAGATAATAGACAGCTGAAACAGGACAAAGGATATAAGTATAATGATTTAAATTGAGATGAAATAAATAAAATAGAATTAAGAGAGTTAAAAGAGGGGAGAAGCTATATAGAAAATGTAGAATGGTAATAAGATATGGAACGGTATATAAAAATGAGCATGAACTTGAATTTGTGTCTGTACGAAGAGATGTAACCTGGGATCAAGCTGCTTTCAAAAAAGATGTTTTATGTTTTCATGTTTTGTGTTTTGTTTGTTTATGTTTGTTTTTTAAAAATCAATAAAAAAAATTGGGGGGGGGAATAATTAGCTATTAGTATTAGTTTCTATTTAATGTATTTCTACAGTTTATTGACATACAAAAAGAAGAGTTAAAGATGTACCTCTATTATATAGTGAAATGTACAGTATTTTTAAGATGGTAGAGTATACATTGAATCACTTTCTTCACAATTTAGTCTATGTGCTACCTTCATCTAAACACTTAGGAAAAAATAAAAGCTCAGGATCAGTTGTGCCATTAAATAAAGATAGCAAATGCGGGGAAATTAATAAAATTCTTTAAGTCATTTGCTGTCCTCAGTTGTGGTGGACATTATTTTATTATTGGATTTTGAGATAAGACTCAATTAATTTAAACCTGTTTAGTATGTGAATGGAAGACTTCCCCAGAATGCCAGGGCTATAGACTTTACTAAAAAGGTGAGAGAGAAAAAATCCCATACAAGGGCAATCCACTTCTATATTATGGTCAAGAATACAACCTTAAGGTCTGCAGGAAATCACCAGAATTCAAGCTTAACTTAAAGAAAGCTTCTGTAGTCTGTGAGTGGAATGGAGGAAGAAGACCATTTAATACTTAGTATTGGGTGCAAAAGTTTCTTTATTTACTTTTCATATTTCATATTTGGGTGTAGAATTTGGAAAGAAGTCAGCTTTTGTCATACCAGCACCTGTTCTGAAATCTCCATGATTCTTATTTTATAATGCTTTTCTTAGTCTGGTGCTCTCAAAGTTAAATTCATACCCACAATTTCCATAAATGCTTGGCAGTCAATTCAGTAAAATGCGGAGTACTGCATACTGTATATATATGCTTTAAAAAAACATGTCTTAAATTGATTTTGATAGATCTTTATACTTGATTTTAGTATGTGTGGAACCCAGTGAATTAAATAACTTTCAAATCTGCTGTTTAAGGGATGTTGATGGGCAACAAATCACAAAGAATAAATTATAAAATTATCTTATTTTCTAATAATAATTCTGAATATTTCCAGTCATGTAACTTTAAGTGGAATTTAATGTTTGTCTATTTCATTAACATTAATTTTGGGTTTGTAAACATATCTTTATATTATCTTCTCTTGGGGAATTTGAACATACTTATTCATCCAAAGGACTAATTGTCTCTAATGTCTTTAATTTAGAAACATTGTATAATGTATTGTATAATGGAAAAATAGCATTTAGACAAACTAGTTATTTATAACATAAAGATATGCAGTGCACAAGATCAACTTGGTGTCAAGAGTAGCAAAAAATCAGCATTCAGCCATTTCTATTTTTAAAAGAATAAATGGTAAACCGGCAAATAAATTGAACTATTTTTTAAAAATGCTTCTTTTTTCTTTTTTCAATAGATCAAAAAATATTTGGAACTTGAACCACTTGCACGAGGGAAACGTTGGATACTTAAACCCTGTTCCTTGGATGACATGGAGTCAGTAAAAGACAGCTTTGGCTTTCTGATAAATTTACTAGAAGACAGAGATCTTGAGCCTTCAAGGATGTGAAGAAAACAAGGATGGTTCTCAGATAACATTGTACCTGTTTGTCTTTCTTTCAGCTGAATTATGGTTTGGTATACAGAAGGATGTGTTAGAGCTTGCAATAAATATATTTTTGCATTTAATCCCAGAAAGTCTGTTTATAAATTCTGTGAATCAGATTTATGATTATTTTCAGTAATGGCGCCTGTACTACTGAATCGTGAATTCTTATTATTTACCAACAAATCAGTTCGCTGTATAAGAGTTTCCTGAATTGTAGTAGCCATAATGCAGAATTTTGCTGTATGGGCAACGTTTAAACATTTAAATCCAGCTGTAAAGGGAGACCCAAAGTTTTGTGGAAACTATAGTAGTTGAGAACCAGAGTACGTTTTGAAACCAAGGAGTTCATTTTGATGCAAAGAACAGCAGTCTTGTCAAAGAATGTACCTTATCCCCACTTTTTAACAATTACAAATTGATTTTTTTTAAAAAAAATCCAAACCATTACTTTAATAGGAAGCGTGGCAAAAACCTCATTCATCATACAATGAAAATATAAGTATTTTGTTAGGATTTGGAAGCCTCAAGTGCAAATTGCCTTTGTAAATTACAAATTTTTTGATTGTATAAAATGATGATGAAATGGAGGCTCCCTTGTAGTTAAAAACAAGAAACAAGAATAGAATAGAATAACAGAGTTGGGAGGGACCTTGGAGGTCTTCTAGTCTAACCCCCTGCTTAGGCAGGAAGCCCTATACCATTTCAGACAAATGGTTATCCAATCTCTTCTTAATAAGTAAGTTTGAATAATCACTGGATGTATTATTCTTCATGACTAGAATTCCTAGCCCTTGGAATCATTAAAAAAATTCAGTGTTTCTGAATTATATTCAAAAGTCTACTGTCTATATTTTTTAAATACCCCTATTTTCAGGGGCTTAGAGTTCTTTTAAATTTTATTCCAGACTGAATATTGTAAAAAAAAAAAAGCTTTTCTTCCTGAGAATAGAAAATTTTGTTGTTTGTTATACATGATAACACTCCATCATGAGTCCCAAGAATGTATTCATCTTGCAGTTTTGCTTATTTTGAAAGATTGCTTCAAAAGTTAAAACCACCTTGTTCATAATACAGCACTGAATTGCTCATAAGTTGAATTTGTATATTAAATATTAGAATCCTTGATCAAAACTAGAGTGGAACAGGTCTTAAGACATGGCAGCGTTTGGTTTTGTTTCCTCATTTTTGGCTTGATTTTTCTTTAATTTTAAGACAGTTGAAGAAATAAAACACTTGCAAAGAATGCCATATTTTACATAATTTAACACTTGTACATGATTGAGAGGTAAAAGTGATTTGTTCTATAAATCTCTGTATTAAAAACACCCCACCCCTGGGAAACAGCCAGTTTTTCTTTTGATTATTTCTGATGCCACATGTATACAATTATATGTATATAATAGTAATGGTGAGATTACCAAATATAGACATTAAAATAGACCAAAACCTAAAAATTCTAATGCTAATTGATTTTTTGACATCACCACTTTTTCCATCCTGCAATGCCATTTCTATAGTGATAGGCATTTTGAATTATACAGAGTAATGCTTATTTGGAAAGCATGTGACAGTATACAAATGAAATAAATATGTTCTTTCAATTCATGTTTTATAATTCTCTAGATCCATAACAAGAAACTAAGTTCAGTTGATAAGAATATGATAATTTTCATTGACTCAAATCATTCTTCATTTACACTGGCAAAAAAAATCCCCATTTATATAAATATGATTAAAATAATTTAAGAAGAAACAATGGAGCTAATTCTGTAACAGTAATTAGGCCCTATTTGTGACTTTAAAGCAATGCCATGACCAACAGGTGAGAGACAAACAATTTTGCCACCTCTAGGCATGAATTTACCCCGAATCTAGTTAAAAACTGATAAAAGAAAGTTATTTAGGAGTAAAAAACATATTTAGCCCTTTTGTAATACAAATTATAGACTATGATTCTATTCCTAACTATAACAAGTAGTAAGTAATGTATTCTGTGGAGTTTTCTTACTATTTACATATATACAGTCCACCTGCAGAATTTTTATGAAAATAAATTTTACAAAAAAAGTTATTATTTCTCTAAGAATTTCCAACAGAAATGTTTGACTTCTGTTCTACTTGATAAAATCTGCTACATGACTTCAGATCAGCCCTTTCATTTTTAATGTCTGTTGGATTCCATTTTGAAGTTGCAGTTAATTTTTTGTATTCCTAAACACCTCACATTTCTTAAAAAAATATATAAAAAAGCATGACCTGATTAAAGTGTTCTTGAAAGTATATTAACCAGTAAGCAGTTTTTACCTTGCTCTATTCTCTCCCCACTCCCAAATCTGGCATTCCATTATAAATGACATAAAATTCCCTTTCCATATTCTAGCTCACATGGCTGAGAAAAATTCACCACTACTGAATATTCCTGCTTTGTTTTAACTGAGGAAGTTGTGGTGCTGCACTCTTCCAGGCATCTGTTAAATTACTTTCTGGGTGCGTTTGTGAGGGTGCCGGTGCCCGTGTTGGGCTTTTTCTCAGACTGATGACTGTCTGCAGCACTTGAGCAGTAAGAATAAAAACACGATCAATCAGTATCCCACTGCAGCTGTTTGGACAGGTTTCTGGCAGGTTCGAATGCTTTACAACTGTCAGTGGCTCCTTTTGTCTGCTCAGAGTGTTGCTTGATGTTTATATCGTGTGCTCATATTCCCCTAAAGTGCTTACATTTTTAAACTTTTAATGTCTTCAGTGTTTCTGCCTGTCCCATATAATGTGCCTGTGCCACATGTCTGCAATTACATATTCAAATACTGTAACCCAATGTATGTGTTGTATTATTGAGCTTCTTGCATTTCATTATTTATAGAGGTTAACAGATTTTTGTACTTAACTAGCTAACCCAGATGCCCTTTTTTTGTAACAAGTAATTTATATTATAAAGATTTGTATCTCACTGTACTTAAAAACATGATTGATAGCTAACTCTCCATATATCCCTGACTTTATACTAAAATGCAGCACTGTTAACAAATTTCAGGCAGAAAACTGCCATGCGGAAAGAATTGTTTTGTGATTTATATAGTTTACGCTAACCACAATGACAATAAATGCTGTGTAGAACATTTAAGTATGTTATGTTTTAAATTGGGTTTCATATTCAATTATGTGTTTGGGATGGTTATCCATATCCACAAATACTTTGAAAGCACCCAACCATTCCGTGAAATACAGAATACAGAAGCAAGTTTCAATAGCTATACAATAATTAGTTAGAATAATCTAGACAATGAAATTAAGGCAATGCTTAACACTATCAAGAAAAGGAGATGCTTTACCTTAGTCTTTCCCAAACCAGTGCTCTCTAGATGTCCAGCTCATCCATTATCCGTAACCACAGAAAAATATTTACACTGGAATACAACAGCCAATAAATCTTATAGAATGATAGATAGAATCTCAAGCAGAAATTGTATTTGATCCTGCAGAATTCACATGGATTGTCAGTGTTCATGTTTGGCTGTTTATATTTCCTCAATAAATAAAATGGTTTCTTCTCCCATGGAAAATAAGTAGCTATCAGAACATGCCTCAGTGCTAAATGACTGATTCAAAAGTTTGTTAGACTTTTTTTCCTTAAAATATATGTGTTCTCAAAATTGTTTTGAAATACAAATTGCAATTTTCAGTATTTCAGCCACTTGAGGAAGGTCAACAAGTTATCAATGCCCAGACTCTAAAGAGCTTTTTTTCCCCTTTTGAAATATCCCTGCTGGAATATTGTATGCATTTTAAAGAAGTCCATTCAAGGAGTCTTTTTCAAATTTCCCTCCATAGACAAAGCAGTTTGCTCTGTATCATATAAGGGTATATAACATATATATGTTTTCCTCTATAAGGAAAACATTATTACTACTTATGAGCTTATGGGGACTATGAAGACTGGCCGCTGATATATTCAAAGTCAGTCACTATCTCCATATACTAATATTTGTTTTATACAGTAAATATATGAACTTAAAATGGGGAATATCGTGAAAGTGGAAAATATATGAAAGGTAATACATTTTAGCTGTGTTTCCAATGAAATTAAGTGGGAGATATTTGTCATATTGTCTATATTGTAATCCTAAATGATATGGTTCTGGTGTGAGAAAACTTTTCACTGTGATTCAGTTTTGTAGTTCTTTTTTAGTTCTGAATGAGGAGTCTGAAACCAGAATCTTAATGCATTCTCTAATATTAAATATTCCAGTAATGTGTAGAGGGAGTAAGTGTTCTGTACATAAAATAGCAATCTGTATATACGTGCTGATCCCACAAACTCTAAATGCATCCTTATATGCAACACAGATGCGCTTCAGAGTCTTATTCTAGAGATATATACACACAAATGAAATTGTGTATATCTAGATTTTTATATTCTCTTTCCAATAATGACTAAGTTTTGTACCTCATTTGGCAAATATAAGCTCTCATTTTCTCACACTGAAAATTGCTTTCTCCTCAATAAAATGGCCAGCCATAGTCTACGTGCATCCAAATACTGATCAGTTGATAATTTACTCCATTTGCAAGTAAATATATTAAGCATTTATAGATGTTTCTTTTAGAAGCTCATTTCGTATAATGCTGAAGGTGTGAACCATAAATATTCAATAATGGTGGATGGTCAGTACCAGTCTATTTTAAATCTGATGAATTTGTTCACTAGGAATGCATCACTGACTTGCTTCCTTACCTTTAAAGTAATGAGTATGACCTTAGTGTGACAGTAAATAAGATAACATACGGCTGCTAAAATAATGACATGCATTAACGGTATAAGGAATGTTTACTCGGCATTCCTATCTTTTAGTGTCCACAATTAACCTGCTCCACAGCTGCAAAAATAATTCTGGCCAACAGTGATAAATTGACAACACTTCTCTCCATGGATGTGGCAACAATATTTATAGAAGTTACTACAAACAAATGTGTACCAAGACATAGTGACATGTTTTGCTAATTTTAGGAACAGGGATGTACCATGAGTACAAGGTATCTATGCTGCTTTAGTTAAAAACAAATTCATTCCCATTTTATTAAAATTGGAAGATTCAGTAAGGTTGACTTGCTAAAAGTTTGTGGGGGGTTTTCTCCTGTAATATGTGTTTGTGGTACTTGCTGCTGACTTATCCAAATGTCTGATATGCATAGGAGATATTCATATGCATAGGTCAGAGACAGAATAATCCCAGACTCACCTTATACTCATTTTTGATCCACAATAAGATTTGCCCCTTCCTCTTGCCACATAGATTGTAAACCAGGATTATGAACTCCCTGTTTATGTTTTTCCTTTCCAACCTTCCCAGTGTTTCATGATTAGAATCTGCACTCATTAAGACTGACCCTGTGGTTTCCAGTGAAAAGTGACTAATTTATGAGCACTTGGTGTAATAGATGATGAATAAGCTTTTTCCATTTACTTTCTACACAATTTATCTCAGAATGAATGTCACATGATTCTTTTGGTATGTGAACACATACTTTGGCTATTGACATTTAAATATATGTGGTTTGAAAACCAAAACTTCTCATCTTATTTTTACAATTCTTTTTATAAAGTTTAAAATCAAACAAAAACTTCAGCAAGAACTATCTTAGGATACAGCTGGACAGCTGATGTTATTTTTTGTACCTGCCATCTGAATATTCAATATCCTGAATGGAAACAAGAGAGAAAGAGTAATTCATACATGAATGGGCATATCCTATGAAGCTCACCTGCAAAATACATTAATGGACTCTACATTTATTTTCTGCTTGATACTGAGAAAACAGAAGGTGTTATAAACTGAAATTGGGGGGAGAGACTATTAGTACATCCATAATTGGAACATTGTATGGTTATGGGGTTGGTTAGTCTTGTCAATTAAAAGTAATGAAACAATAACACAAAAAAATCAGCAATAATATGAAACTTATATTTTACTTTGCTCTGAAAGTGCCAACATACAATTTTCTTCACAAGTAACTCTTTAAATCAAGATTAATAGAGAGCCCATTTGGTGTAGTGGTTAAGGTGCTGGCCTACAAACCAGGAGAATGAGTTCTAGACCCACCATGAAAGCCGTCTGGATGATTTTGGGCAGGTGCTCTGGGAAAAATAGAAAGAAGAAGCATTAGGTATGTTGGCTGCTTTGAGTTATTTATAAGAATAATAAAGTCAGGGTAAAAATAAATAATAAGTGGAATAGTAATGGAACCCTTGCTCAGTGCAATCTAGCTTTTAAGTTCTCAGTTTAAGTTTAAGTTGGATTATACAAAGATGTGTAAATATATTCATAGTCCTAGAGTCTTACATAGTGAGAATCAGCCATCCTAAATTCATTACGATTGGTGCTTTTGATTATGAGTTCACAGAAGCCTAGGCAAATAATAAACTGGGACATTCAACTTCTATAGTGAAGTCTGAAGTTGATAACAAGATTTCAGATTTTTAAAGTCATTTTGTTTTTAATCATACTTTGTCCATTATTTTTCATGTTAGGGAGCAAAGTAAGTTACTGATCAGATTGTGTTTGTATAATATTTTATGTAGAGTAACTAATTCCTATGTTGCATTACTTCTGTATCACTGTAACAGGTTTTTTTTTTGGTCATACAGTTATAAAGTTTGAAGGATCTATAGGTCTATTCCACCCATTGATTTATTGTTAAATAAATAAAATCAAAACATCCTCTTGCCTGAGCATATGAAGGGAGGTGAGGTTATCACTTCTCTAAATAATTGGTTGAATTATTCTTGAATTGGAAAGTTTTAGCATTAAAACATTTCATCTAACTTTCAATAACATCTGCCTTTCTATAATTTGACTTTCTGGGTAAGGTCAGGTTTCTGAAGAATGCTGTTTTATCCTGCGCATCCGACCACCAGTGTTAGTTGTTTCCCTCAAGGTTAAACATCAGTTCTTTCAATTTCTGAATATAGAACTTGTTTGAGACTCTTGATCATTCTTTTTGCCCCTCTTTGAATCTGTTCTGGTTTCTCTGGGGATTCAGTTCTTTTTTTATGACTAATACAGAATAAAGTGGAAGGACTATTTTTGATACTTAGAAACACTACCTCTGTTGATGTTCATTTCGGCCCACAAGTTGGGAAGATTTCTTGGGGAAATGGATTAATGCTATTCTTTTAGTAAATAAAATTGAAAATTGAAGATCAGAGATCTTTCACACCATACCATGTTGTCTGCAAACATTTTCTCTAGAGAACCATACCGCTTGGATTTAAGTAATGGAAAAAAAATATGCATATTATCTTCAGAGGAAAAGCTACTATATAGCAACATTTCAATTTGATTTTTTGTTCTTTTCCAGGAAAGAATAATTAACTCTATATTATCATCCTGTCTTC